GCTCTATTTGCCCTGAAAAAGACTCTTTGAACTTGGGGATCTGAATTGGAATTGGTTGAAATGGACTTGATTCTAACAAAATCTCTCTCAAAATATCCTACTCGTGTGTTTGCAGATGATGTGGTCTACAGGACCATTGTGTCATTGCTACAAGGAAAATAACCAGATCACAGTTCATTGTCACACAAGAGAAGGCAGTTTCTTGAACCAACCTTTGTTTTCCGTGAATTTGACTGCCATATCATGATGCAAATGTGTTATATTCAAGCGCAGGGGTGGGCAAACTTTTTGACTCAGGGGCCACATAGGGTTCTAAAATTTGACTGAAGGGCCGGACAGAAGACGGGACATGACGTGTTCAGAGCCCGGCTCCATTGCACTGGTATTTACTCTCATGTAGGACGTATTCTGCACTACGCGCTGCAACTTTTAGACATGTAAGTTCCAGAACTCATGAAAAGTAAGACGAGGTGTGCAGTGGGGCAGACGCGCGTCTTTGATGGGGCACGACGCGCGTCTTTGATGCCGTGGACGAACGGGAGAAAAATACTTGACGCGCGTCCGTTGCCCTGGAAACAAGAGCCCGGTCCCGGTCTTTTGGTCCCGGTCTAGTCTCGCTCTACTCTCGGTCTCGTCCTTGTTTAGTCCTGGTCCGGTCCTGGTGTAGTCCTCGCGATCGGCTCGGTGATTGTGGCGTACATATTTTTTCTCCGCTCATGTTTGTGGTTCTGGTTCTCGGGTCTTGCTTCCTGATAACGTCGCTGCGTCACTGGATACTGTCCCTGATTGGTTGACGCGGCGCGTCTGACGCAAAAAGTTCAGCATTTTCAACTTCTTGACGCTGACGCCTTGGACGCGCGTCTTGGCCGCTGACGCCAAAACGTTCAAGACGCGCCGCATCGCCAGATTCGCGCCGCGCTGACGCCGAAAACGCGCCGCAAAAACGCAGGACTCTCTAGTCGCGCGTCCACATAGACTTTACATTGAAACTGGACGCTTTGACGCCTTGATGTGAACGGCCCTTTACAGCGAATATACGACAAGCGCTCACATTGACGCGGAATCTAACCAATTCTTTAGAACTTCCTAATACAGTAATTATGAAATGGATGACTTTCTTTTACATAGATTTAAAGCAGAAACAGTGTAGCCTTATGTCTTGAACACTTCTACCTCATTCATGGTCCGAATACACCGCCCGAAATGACTCCTGTCAATAATTTCCAATAAAGCATTGCGGCCAACAGAAGCCGCCGCACCTCAATGTATAGATAGTGCGCCATCTACCGGGAAACGCCGGAAATGCAAGAAAGATAAAACAGCAGTAAGGTTTATTTATTATAATTTGGTCAAGTTCTGTGGGTCAGTTTGAATGGCTGCATAAGGTCACCGCGCACTAAATAACTGGATACAGTATTGCTGCTTGTAGCTGCCTCCAGTTGACGTAGTGTCACTCACTGGAACGTCAGCAGAAAAAATCCCATGGGCCGAGACAAGATTTTTCTCGTAGAGGCAATGTGAATCACAAACTGCTCGTGTTTGTCTGACAGGTTCATCTACAGCTTTCAAAAATATCGAATTTGCTGGCGATTTTGACCTATTTTTAGATCATAAACTTTTTCTCGCTCAAAATCCTTCAGTTGTCTTAAAAAAACACTTTATATTCGTTAGCTCCTGCTCCGCTCTAGCTCCTCTCGCTCTGATTGGTCAAAACGATCACGTGATACACGAGCCCGCGCTCCGTGCGTGTGGTCGCGTGCTTTCGCGTGTGCCTGTGTGGTCGCGTGCTTTCGCGTGTGCCCGTGTGGTCGCGTGCTTACGCGTGTGCCCGTGGGAGAAAAGAGCACTACTGCGCATGCTCGGTCGGCCCACTGCCGGGAGTACCTAGCCATGCTAGGCTAATCTGGGATCATGCGCCATTGAGCTCTGCCCAGTAATTTGAATAACGGCCATCTTGGAACCTGGGGGGACTTCCCACTAGCTCCTACAGCCCTTTCATTTACGTATGTCATAGATGTTCAGACACCTATGTCTAATTCACATATCAAGACGTAATACGTCAAAAGCATTAACCTCCACACCGTTGGTTGCAGTGCTATCACATCACAAGTCACGTTCCATTACACAATATGGTGTAGAGCAGTTGAATAATTTATACACACTAAGATCGGAATTAGTGCAGTCTTATGTCTTGAACACTTCTACCTCATTCATGGTCCGAATGACTCCTGTCAATACTTTCCCATAAAGCATTGCGGCCAACAGAAGCCGCCGCACCTCAATGTATATATAGTGCGCCGTCTACTGGGAAACGCCGGAAATGCAGGAAAAATAAAACATTAACAAGGTTTATTATTATTATTATTTATTCAAGTTCGGCGGGCCGGATTAAAAGGTTTAAAGGGCCGCATATGGCCCCCTGGCCGTAGTTTGCCCATCCCTGGTCTAAAGAAACATTTTAGTCAAAAATTTCAGCACGTTCATCACACACCTGTGTCAGAACACTCACTGTCTGATACAGTTTTAAAATTGACTTTTATAGTCATGTGTCGCTGGGGGCTGCATCCATCAAAAAGACACAAACTGTATAAAAGTCTGTGGTCATTATTCCATTAAAATCCTGTTACACATGTGTGTGTTGTGAGGAGCAGAGCAGTTTTTCACACAGACAGACTCTGGTTTGGACTCTGAGGATGACTGTGGTTCTGTCTGTTTGCTCCTTCATCACGTCTGTGTCTCTTTTTTTACACATTTGAATCTTCAAAGTTTGTATTTAACTCTGCAACCAATAATTTACTTCAGTAAATATATATTCTTAGCCATTTGACAGATATTAAACCATTATTTTCTTGATAAAATTGTTTTATTTGAATAAATAACTACCCTAGTCTTTAAAAGTTGGAAACATAAACACTGCTGCAGAAAAGTTACACTGTGCGCCTGAATTCATAAATGTAAGAAACAATGAAATACACATGTATTATTGTCTTTTCATTGGTTCATGTTTTCATATAAAAATAAATCATTTTATGTGTAAAATAGTCAACACTGATGCAGGACATATAGATCTGAACAATGGGTAGCACCAAATTAAAATTTCTTGCTGATTGTTGTTGATACAAACAAATGTACGGAGAGCATTTAGCATTCTTATTTAGTATTTGAGTAAGTTTTTCTTATGTACAAAAACTGTAAAGTTTGGTGTGTGTAGGTGCTACATTAAGAGGTGATCTTTATGTCCCTGTGGGAGTGAAATGCATTTTGAGAAGTCACATATAAATCTATGGATGCAATTCCATCAGAGACAGAGACAAATAAAGACTTAAAGATCATCTATTTAAACTAAGTTACATATATGACCCACTAGTTTTATTTATTTGAAATATTTCCGATGCAGTAGTACTTACCTAATGATCCCACTGTGAGCAGCAGTAGTGCCTCCATGATCGACTCTCAATCACCCCTATAATCCAAACCCTCTTATATGATGTGAGACTCGAATCTGTTTTGTCTTTATGTAAAACAGGAATGTGTGAGGAGGGTTAAGTGTCTTACCCAAGGACACAACAGTGTTCAGTGTGAGAGCTAGAATTACGTTACGTATATCGTAACAGGTTTTTCAGGAAAAATATAGATTATGTGGTTGGGCAGATACAAATGGCTTTATATGGATAAATCTATAATAAAAACTACAAAACAAGAGCACACAGTTTCTCTCCTCTTCTAAACTACAATAAAACCTGCAGCCTGTTCAAGTTTAATGTTGATTGTTATATTTTTTTGTGTTATATTCTGTTGTCCTTAATAATAATAAAAAAGAATGTCATAAATAAATAAACAATATTATTCACCCAAAAGGGATAAGTGT